ACATATTATTAAAAAAAGGATTGACATAAAACGTGGATTTTTAACAAATCGAGAATTATTCTTTTATTTACGTTACATTATAATTTATTCATATTATAATTATATCTTCTAAGATTTGACACGCATTGACAATAAAATTACATTAATATTTCATATATTCGTAAACATATCGTTAAAGAGAATCGACATAAAATATTACTTCAATAGCATATTAATACTGATCGCAATAGTAAATTAATACTGGTTTCAGCATTGGTCGAAGATAACGAGGATGAATCAAGAAACATTTTATTTATGCTACCGCGCTGGACCACGATCTCGCGAATATCCACGGTTATTCCGATATGAAATTCCGATACGCATGTTCACGTGCTTCACGAGGCTTCGGAGAAAAAGCGTCGCGTCTTTTTTCACTCAACACATACTCGCACGACCACCTGTACCAAAACAGGTTCAGGCATTTACGTCTTCCCTCGGGCGGATTCTGATGTACCATCGAGACAGCTTGGCGACGCGCGTACTTTCTGCCCACAAAACAACGTTGTTGATACTACACCGTCGAAATTTTTCTCGTCTCTTGTCACATCTATCGTGAGACTGCGGTCTCTCGTTTTAAATAACGCCGACCTCGGATCTACGTTTACGATGGTACGGTGTCAATTGTTGACTCCGTCGAGCGATATATTCTTGCGAATTCTTCTATTGGACGCCGAATTAATTGACTTGATTATAATTGGCATTGTCAATGCCCACAGATTATGACTCAGACGACGTCCCCTCTCCGTTAACCGACGATAGTTCCGCTCGTAGAATTTACGTCGGGGAGCGTTCGCGGGAGCGTAGATCATTGACGCGGAAAACCGCATCGCTGGAGCGGTTTCCTAGAGAGGAGGAAGAGAGGTACGAACAATTCACAGAGCTGAGCGAGCATCGGGATTTTTTTCAGAGATTGGATTATAATGACAGGTATAGGCACATACAAATACGCAAATTTTGTACATTTCTTGAAGGTCTCGAAAAAGAATACATTTATCTGTTATCGAGATATTTCCAACTGTTGTTCTTAATTTGTTTTTAAACTTAATTAACGAGTAAATTTTGAATTAAATATTGTGTACTTCGCAAGATGTTCCACACACAGAAAAATATTATTCTAATTGCTGAGAAAAATAATTATTCAATTTATGTCCTTTCTTTATGTATTGGTTATCTTTAACAAAGAATATATTTTCTTGATAGTAAGTTTTCTTAAAAATATACTTGTTACAAATTTTAGAAACTCATTATTATGTATTTAAAATTAGAAATTATTTTTTTTTTAATATTATAAAATTAATTGAAGAAGCGACTTTATATAATAAGCAAATTAAATTTAACTTAATTTAATAATTCTGATTAAAGTATTAAATTAAGTTATTAAGATTTACTTACTGAGATTTAAAATATATGTTTCGATAAACTATGATATAGATTTGTGGATATATGAACTTTCGAACTACTTAAAACAAGTAATTATTACTTGCGTACTTTTGTATTTTTTTGTGCGCAAAATGAAAACAGTGTTATTGTACTTGTAACTAACTATTTCGAATTTTAATCTTCAGAATTCAAAAAGTTTTAAACGTAATGTATGTAAACAGCATATTATTTGTTGTTTAATTTAAAGCGGGTTTTAATTTTGACGGAATTTGAGGAAGTTTAATTTGAAAATTGAATGAACTGTCGCCTTTTCTCGCAATATTTTCGCGGAAGAGTTGACTCTAATCTTCACGAGGAACAACGATACGCTTTCTGCATATTCTGGGACGTTCTATCAACGAATCTGTAGAGCTTGTTCTATGAATTCCAGGTATTATAATATGGAACGTGAACGTGAACGTGGCTATCAGAACGAAGACGCACAGGACTCGGAGATGGACTCGGATCCCTTCGTGACATGGAGACCACGACGTGCCTTACCGCGTGAATATTTCATCGAGATCATGGTGGTAGCCGATGCGAAAATGGTGGAGTATCATGGCACTGGCTTGGTCAGTTACATTCTTGTCTTGATGAGCACGGTGGGTATATATACTCTTTGGACGTAGTTTGGAAATATTCAATTCCGCTTTCCAATTAAGTTTCTGTGTTAATGCCGCACTACGATATGGTCCTTTACATTTTTTTTAAGTAAAAAATTGTGGCTACATTTAATGTGTTTATTTGTGAGAACACAAAATAATACCTCACATTTTTCAAATTTCAAATTTGCAGCACGTAAAATTTCACTTTTCTATATTTATTAGTGATTGAAAAAAAATGTAGGACATTACTTTCTGAGCAGTTCACGTATATATCGAATATTCTGCAGTGCAGGATTGTTGCTTAATTTTAATGATGATCTTTGATGAATAATTAATTAAGATAGTGAGTTTCTAATGAGTTGAACTTTGTGAAAAAAAAATGTATGATGAAAGAATATTCTTGTTTTAATTTCGAACAGATTTTAATATGCTTTTAGTTGAGAGTTTCTTTCTTATAATGGAAGTATAATATTAAAAATTTTTTAAATGCAATAAATAAATCGTCTCTTTAATCAAAAAATTGCAAAAGATCTTAAAAGAGTAATTCACATTGCACATGAACATGGCAATGTTTAAATCCATTGATAAAGGACGCAGTAAGATGTTATTCATTATTGAAAACGAAACTCGCTGCACCGGCATGTTTCTTTCGAAGGAAGTCTTAGCAAAAAAAAAAAACAGAGCCAATAAAGAAAAAAGGAAGGGGATGAGAGATGTCGATTCAATGTAATTCGACAATTAGCTTCGTCACGGCGGTCATTACCGAGTACGCTACGCCAGTTATGTATCCCACGCGAAGGCCACACCTTACGGGGAGGGCAACATCCTGCGAGGAGTTCGCTTTCACGAACCTACGCTTGTCGTCTGTTCGATGATTCAATCGCGTTTCTCAACAATAATCGATCGACTTTAAGATTCATGAATTTTTTATGAACGAAAGAGTGCAGACAAAAGATCAAAATAGACTCTTTGTGTGCATAGTGTCCCAGAATAGATCGGATGTCTCTTTTAACACATATACACGTATAGAGTCTTCAATCAGATATAGGGATGTATCAAATAAAAAGTAATTAAGGTACTTGAACCGAATAAGGCCCACCTAACTTATTTATTTTTTTTTATATTCTGTTTAATGAGGAAATAAACGAAGCGAGAATAAAATCTTTATTTCACTCATTCATAAAAGTAAAATATATCTTCTATATAGAATATTTGTGAATAAACAAAACAAAAAAAAAATTTTTTTTATTAAACTCTGACTTTTTTTTTTGAGT